AAAGATATTTTTGTTTAATTTAATCATGTCATAGTCACGTGTTAACATTTACTTTTGATTCTTTATTTGTGATCAGGATAAATCTTTTGTTTCGTTTTTATTATCTTCTTGCAAAGTGGTACTTAATTTGATAATCAGAAATTTAAGGACAAAAATAAACTTTGGTAACTGTAGAAAGGAAACCGACACAAACGTTAAGCAATAAATAAAATTGATAACAATTAAAGATATAAGCCTGCAAATATAGACGAGCTTATTTTTTAAACCTGAACTTTGACAGATTTTTCAATCATTTAAAATTGTCAGGTTTATTTATTACCAACGAAACTTGCAAAATGTGAATTGTCTGCATATTATAGTGCATTATGGTTATGATAAATATCTTTGTTTTAAATAATGAAGTTAACAATTTATATGAGAGGCCTGTCAGCTAGTGATATATGCCTAAACGCTGTTAAATGTTATTTTGGGCAGCAATGTAGCTGCTATACCTTCAAGTATTGTGCTATATGAACAATTTCATATGTGTGTAGCAAATAGGTATTAAACGGTACATTGGTTGTTTCTAAACCCGACCAGGTATGTTTTCACTACTGTAATGGCATTTAATGATTGATTTCATAAATAGATAAGAACAAAATAGGAAGATATATCAAAATAGCAAAGCGACTAATTAATTGATAAAACAACATTATTTAAGAATCATATTTATCAGTAGAACATTTTAAGTTTCAATTGTTCTTTTGTTCATCGCAGATACCAAAAATACGTTCTGTATTTTCCTCTTATGGCGATCTTCCTCGATGATTTTCAGTACAAAAAATACGATTATAAAAATGTGGAAACAAAGTGATCTCTCGGAAGCGTTAATCACAACAAAATTACATGAAAATTGCAGACACGGTTTGATTGAGTCTTAACATGACGAATAATGAAAAGTGCAACATCCCTCACGCAACCTAGCACCAGCTTGAGCGGTACTCAATTCTGTTGGCATTAATGATCCCGAAGGACTAGAAAAAATATAACAACACTGAAGTGAAGTACGGGGCAACTTTTTAACAGCTGCCACACGGAATTTGACACCTGCTGTTGTGAAGTATAAAAATCTGGAAACAAAGTGATCCCCCGGAAGCTTTAATCACAACAAAATTACATTAAAATTGCAGACTAGGTTTGATTGAGTCTGTACATGAGGGAAAATGAAAAGTGCAACATATAAAGTTCAAATCTGTCATCAATACCAAACATGTTCTTTTCGCCACAGTGACTGTGATTACCTTTTTGTGAACAGTTGTTTTCCTTGAACTTTCCTCCTGATCGTAATATTAGCAATTATCATTTTCTGAATTCCTTTTTTTAAAACACCGAGAAAAGTGATAAAACTCATAGGCAATGAAAACAATAGTTAAAAGACTCGTATGATTAGAGTCTATTCATGAGAAATAACACGGATCAGGCTCCTTAGCACCGGCCAAATGTATGTTCCCTTTTGTTATCTATTTTCTTATCAACATTAAACAGATTTTAGTCAATGAACCCGAAGGACCAGACAATATAAGCAACACTATTTTTGAGTTTTACACTTTGCTATGTGAGTGCGTATTTGAATTACCTCGTTAATCTATTCATATTTTAAGTATTATCTATTTTGATCACTTATGAAATCAATCATTATATACCATTACAATATTGAAAAGATACCTGGTGGAGTTAAGAAACAACCAATGTACCGTTTGATACTAAATTGCAGCATACATATGACTTCGTTTTAACTTGCGAAAAATAAAAATATTGAACATGATATTAGTATTGATATTGTCTGTTCCTGAACTATATAGGAAGACTAACTGTTAACATTGTCATTTGATGTTAATGTTACGTTTTATATCAAGTTTAGAAACATTAAGGTCGCAAATGTCAACAGTTTTGTTTACCTCCATTTTAAAGTTCTCTAAAGACTTTCCGATGAATCAAGTAGCATGTGCATGACTTGTGAACATGTTTTAAATAAGCATAATGCATAATATAACACAAAAAAGACATTTACTTGTATAAAACATCCATATTGCATACATATAACATATGTACATAAGAAATGAATAAAGAGGTCGCAGCATTTTATGACTGATAAATGTATGTAATTCTTTTGTACTGTCTTCAACATATTAAAAAGTTGCTGTTGACGACACACAGGATAAAAAGTTCTATTCTTCAAGTGTATTTGTACTTTTATGTGATTTCAATACATGGATTTATAATTTATAAAAGCGTATTATCTGAAAGTGTATTTTTATACTCATATTTGTATTAAGTGATATTGTAAATGTGATTACTTAACTGAAATACTGAATCGTATCATATCATGATGACATATATTTATCATTTCTGTTTCTCATATATCTCTGCCTGTTTTAGTTGATATATTATCTTAAATATGAAATAATTCACGTTCCTGACATAACAAGATTACATTCACTTGCTTTTGCAAAATAGATATTTGCAAGTTTCAATATATTAATGTCTGTTTCGCATGCAAGATCAGCAAAAGTTGTCGAAAGTTTACAGTTCATTTCCCTGCAAAACTTGAGGTTAAGTTTATATTGTGGTCACATTTGTTTTTTTGATTATTATTGATTAACTGCCAAACTGTGTTCGTTGATAATAAATCACACATAATCATTTGGCGGTTCAAGAGCGCTAATGTTAGCGTTACAGCATTAGGCGGCCAAATGAAAGAAATGAACTTTTCATATGTAAACCGTTATTTTGTTAAATATGTGATAAATATAATATTATATTGATATAGATCAATACTAAATTTATTGACTTCGTCGAATAAAACAACATTATGCTTGCCAGAGACTCGCATAATATGATTTTATTCAACTATTACTATTTTCGAGCAATTACGCACGATAATAAATCGAAAACATTAATTTGTCTCTATATCTTTATCGTTTTAAATATTCATTATTTTTTATTCAGTCATAACTATTCAATGACTGGGTGTTCCAGTTTAAATTTCTTGAAAGTTTTGCGATTATATTATATATGTAGTGGAATAATTATATTATACTTGCTCTGTACAATTTCAGAATGCCTTCTAAGCGGCCAGATGACATTGACCAAGGACGTGCTTGGCCTGTTCTACTTATAGTGTACTTGGTTGCCTCGTGTATTTGCTCCGTGCTTTTCATGAATGGAATTTACCAAGTTGTGTTCCTGGAACAATACAACGAGGATTTAACCAAGACGTCGTTAGTTGGTGCCTTAAATTTCTCCCTTCTGTCCCTCCTAGGTAATTATCAGTTTTGCATTAAACGTCTAAACGCACCAAATAAAACTTACATAGATCAAATGGGGCACAAAAAATGAAAAAATATGAGAACTATAAGAATAAAATTGAAAATCGTTATTGAGTGCAACTCTAGGTCCGATTTGAGTAAAAATGGTTTAATTGTTGTTTTTGTTGTTGTAGTATTTTTTTTTTTGTCTTTCTTTCATTTCTTTCTTTTTTATAGGTCAATGTGTATAATTATACTGAAGTACCTGATAAAGAGTGAGCAAATGATTGTATTAACCCTCGTCTTATGGTATAAAATCTTGAAATAATATTGCAAGTTCTGTCAAGTCAAACAGTCCCTTTGATATTCCATCAATGACATGTCTTTATTTAAAACAAACGTGTTTAAGTTCAAGCATAACAACTTACTCTACAGTTTACGTAACTTAAATGGATGGGTGCTCTAAGCTCTTTAGGTTTATTACGACAAAATCATTATTTTCAAATATGAAAACAATTAACATCAATCATAAGAATTATATATAAACTTAAATATCCCTCAAACTAATCTGATTCGAAACATATACAGTGAAGAGAAAATGTTCTGTAAAGTGGATGTGTGTACATTTATAAGTATTTCAAATATATCATAGGAATGTATCATTTAGATATCCTTATAAAATATTATTTGATAAAAAATGTTGATTAAGTTGTTAGTGATATGGTATAAACATTTATATTCAGATATAGAACATTTTATTATTTGCTATACAGAAATATGTCGCAACAGCATCCATACATATTGTTTACGGTCGTGGTGTTATGCCTGATACTTAATACTCGTAATTATTCCTATTGACTAATTCACTTTAATCTATCCACTTACATAGGTCACATAGCACTGTTTCATAATGTTTATCTTATTATTATTGCAGAATGGATAAATACCAACAAATAATATTTCGTTTTATACTAAGCAGAATTACTCACAGAAAATGACGATCGATTTTTACTTACAATAACGAAAAGGTTTTGGAATTTTGCGAAACGTCAAAACTACAAGCAATGCTTCATTCAATTCCAAATAAAACTGAATATAAGATTAAGAACAAATACAATGATCTTTATTTTTAAACAAAAAGATACAAAAAGAAAATTAGGTATATAGAGGGTAAATAAGAAAAATTAGGTACAGTTGATCTCAAATGATGGTGGTGGTGTTGGTAGTTTTCACTCCGGATAACGGCCACATCACAGTTCAGCAACCACATTGATTTGAAAATCTTATTTTTATTTCAGGTCCTGTGGTTTCTATATGTATGAATATTTACAGCTGTCGGATGTGTATTGTCTTTGGCGGTCTCCTTCTAAGTTTGTCTTACTTTGCTTGCTTCTTTGTTAGAAGTATCAACTTTTACATCATCACAATAGGAGTAATTGGAGGTGTGTATGATTCTTTTTATTTGTTTTTGTTTCTTATGCCGATATAAGCACATACATATATGTAAGGCATACCTCGGCAGTCAACCCCGCCAAACCTCTCCTCGATAACCAACCAGTGATAGCTGAATCAGCGGTAAGAGCCAAATTAACATAATACACAATGTCCGACATCAATTAAGAAGAAATTATGCCTCGCCAAAGGTTTGAACCATCGACCTCTAGATTATCAATTAGCTGCAATAAACACCCTATTGAACTAAGCTAGTGACGTATGCCGCGAAGTAATTGTTCGTTTTTTGTATAGGTCTTTTAAAGTACCCAAGACGTGTATTTGATAATAATCATCCTAGCAATTGGAACAGTTTTATCAATTGCTCTGTGATGCATTTTAAATTAGACAGAACTCAAAGATAAATCAATTTGTATTTGAGATTTCCTTTAATTATACGAATTTTTAAACTATTTTTACTTTTTCAGGTATAGGAAACTCTTTTTCTGCTGTACCTCTTCCCGTCTTGCTAGCTTTTCATTTTGACAAATGGAGGAATATAACAGTCGGAATTTTAGTAGTATTTTCTGGAGTTGGAATGCTCATTGCATCGCCGTTGCTTCTTTACCTAATAGATAGATTTGGGTTCAGTGGATCCTTTTTAATTGTGAGTGGGTTAACACTTCAGGTTTGTATCGGTGGGTTATTTTGCTCACCAAGTTCAAAGGAGCGAAAAGTTTTGGATGCACAAAACAATGCTACGATGGATACAAAAAATACGAGGAGCTTTGTAATCCTTAAGAACATTAAATTAGAAGTTGTGAATGTTTATAAACTTATAAAAAATGTGCGGTTCATTCTTTTTCTGTTAAGCACTTCAACTTGGAATTTAGTACTTTCAGCGTGTTCGTCACATTTGCCAAGATACATGGTAACAAAGGGTTTAGGCAAAGACGATGTTATTACCGTAATGACAATATTTAGTTTATCAAATATTTTTGGAAGACTTCTTGCAGCTACTACGACTGGTAAAGACGGATTGGACTACACAGTAATTCATTTTGGAAGTTTAGGGGTACTTGGTTTATCTTCAACGATGTTTGTATTGTATAGTAATTATATCCATGCAGTGTACATTTTTGCTGCCATATGTGGATTTTATACTGGAAGTACAAACTCTTTAATGATCCCAATTGCAGTAGATCTTATTGGCATTGAACACTTGTCTGGCGGCAATGGGCTTCTATATTTCTCCGCAGGTGTTGGTGGCCTTGTGGGACCACCATTTACAGGTATTTAAATTATGATTTTTCTTGTCTTTAGTAAATAATCTTTGATAGGTTTTTAGTCTCATGTATGAAAAAAGTAAACTAAAAGTACCAAAAGTAATATTTTTATATACATTTACTTGTTACCAAAGCATACCACATGCATCTAAAATTGTTATGTGGAATATTTACTACAAATATTTGATTTCAGGACTAATTCAAAGCGTAACTGGGTCATACGAAATTTGCTTTATGTCATTAGGTAAGTCATTTTAATTTGGTTTCAACACATCTGCGGATAGTCCGAAATGTTGCTATTTTCGTTTCTAAATGTTTAATTGTGTTCATGCTGGTTGGTGAAGTGGAGGGAAGCTTGCATCTACCACTACTTTTCGTGAACAGACTCAAACAAACCAAGCATAAGGTCTTCAGCGTACGTACCCGTTTATATACTATGACTTGACATGAACGCCGAAGACAGACCCGTAGGGAAAGTCCACCAATAATCGTGCCAGGAATCTGACACGCTCGCGTTCATTCATCATCGAACATGCCATGAATTAAAGTGAAGCATATATGCTTACTGTATTATATGTTATTTTGGTTTTGGAGTGATATATGTGGATATATTACCTGTCAAGATTTTATATCACCCGAGCCGTTAGGCGAGGGTGATATTTTATCTTGGCAGGTAATATATCCACATATATCACTCCAAAACCAAAATAATAATTTTATTACCCTTCCCCTGTCGAGCTAAGACGATTTTAAAATAAATCATCAATGCTACTTCAAATGAAACGTCGAAATAAGATCCCTTTAGGGTACCCCTTCACCACAACATGACGTCACATAAATACATGACGTACATTCTTGCGAACGTAACGAATGTAAACAAGAGAAAAGGCGTACAGTAGTCTGCTGAACGCACTTTTTTGGAATTAATATCAAGCTTTTAAAAGGTCATATTTGTTTTCAATACTGAATTGAGAATATGTATCATTACACTATTTTTGTATATATTTATCATTTGACAGTTAAAAAATGCTTGTAAATCAGAATTTACATCTTGTAAGATCAAACCGTACGCGCATCGCCACAGCGCATGTTGTTTACAACGTGGGGTACGCAACGGGGATATTTAGTGTGTATATTACCCGTCTGGCTCGGTAATATCAATTTCTTTCGGGTGATCAATAGCCAATCAAAAAGGCGGAAAAAATCTGGAAGGGTAATAAATATTTATGTTGTAAAATAGAAATAAAATAGTGTTTAAACTAAGCATAACTTGATAAAACTATGTATAATATGTTGAAAAGCTAATGATGGACATATTAAAAACTAATTACTTTTAACATAAACTACCTAATAGTTTCTGACAGATAAACATTTCAGCACTTGGCCGCCATATCGTCAAAATGTTTGACCACGTGGTTACGAGATTGCCTTTTAGGGGTAATTTGCGCGGACGGTTAAAAACCAGAACCAATGTGCTTCCAACCTTTTTTTATAAATTTCATTTTTAAAGATATTGAAAAGGTGATTTACTGACTTTTTATTCAATATGATTTTATTTAAGTACTTCAAAAATCAAAGAAAATAAACAAAAATATTATCTTGAATTATAAATATTGAAATCATGTCACCAAAGAATTTCTTAACATTATACACTACTCCAATCGGTTCCCGCGAATTACGTCATACGATGTCTCGCGTAGCTCGTAAATATCATGGCCGACTGTCGTCGGCGTAATTGGTGTTTCACAGTTAAATATTATAAGGCAATTTTAATGACGGTAATAATATTTTGATACTTTAAATGGTATATGACGATATTAAAATAATTGTTTTATCGCAAAATGTACAAGAATTAATTAGACTAGGGTATTTGCCCTTTATTTTTATTTAAAATTAAGGTTTAATCAACGTGTGCCATTTTGGTTTATTTTCTCCTTTGTAGGATGTGTTACTCTTGTTGGGACAGTAAGCAGCCTTATAGCATTTAGAGGGAGAGCAGCATCGGGGAGAGAGAGAATAGACACTAACATTAAAATAAATACAATTGTTCCGACGTGTTGATTTATCGCTGCATCGTTTCAAAATTATTACTATAAGGAAGTTGTAAACCGACACTTTTATTTATGATTATATTTTTTCTTCTCTTTTTTAAATTAAAATTATAATGATTGTTTGCTATTGCTTTTAAAACAGACGCCTATGTAAATAATGTATTTATTTTTATTACATTGTAGATCCATGGATGCCAATTAAGACAGAAACAAACAAAAATGTATATCTAGCTCTATTCACAAGAATTAATGTAAATTTAGTGCAACATCTCCCACGGGCCCCTAAGTATGAAGTATGTTTAGTGCATGCACTTATCCTCATGAAACGAAAATCCGTTACAAGAGAAATAAATAGTTAACATTATACATTCATTTTTATAAACTTACGTTTCGATATGCATGCACATTTAATTGATGTAGGACATGTGTTTTGTTTGGTGGACTCATTCTCTGTTCTCTTTGTGTCAAGCTTTAACTTTGATATATTTACAACCGGAATAATCGGCGATTAATTTGTATTCAGAATCATTTTTTAACAATAACTAGTTTTAATGGTGTCAAAAAGGAAACTGTTTAACAAACTACCGAAAAGTGAAAACATTCAAAGAGACATCTTAATTGAAATGAATTAATTCAGTCGCTACATTTTGTATAATATATAATTAATAAATATTCTGAATTAATATAATTCATTTTGTGTTTAATACGATACATGTACAACGAATGAGTCGAAAATTTGCCAATAAATATTTGAACTCATTTGCGTGGGGCATAAAAACAAAATGACATCCAGAAAATATGTTCTCCCATAATTCAAAATCATGATACTGGGGGTTCCTGTTATTGGGCGACTGTCATTTAGAAACCACTTTCGGGAGCACACTTTCACAGTAATATCTTCCAGTCATGGTTGATTTTTCTGGTAGCACATCTACAGTCACCGGCCCTTCATGTAACAAAAATGTAAAAAGCCTCTTCCGAAGTTGCAGCTTGGAAAAGAATATTTGGTTTTCTCTGCTGGCGTCCATTTTGAACAGATCAGGAAGTGATTTCATGTGTTGATAATGTCATCAGTACACGACGTCCTGACGACTTCATAATCTTTGGCGCCAAAAATGTTACTCTGGTTTTATATTTTGTGTTGCTGTAGTTTTATTAATATACCTGACTTGGTTTCGTATTTACAAGACTGTTTTCATTATCAAATGAATACCACTAAATATACACAGAATGTTTTTTTTCGGGTATAAAACTCTTCGCAATGTCAAACCGCGTAACTATTTAAACAATCAGAAATTCAGACAGTTTCACCATAAAGATCTGCCCCACACGGATCACAGAATGTCACCAACGTAGTAGCGATTGTTTGTATTATAGTGTATTTTGGTGTATAGATATAGATAACATATCCATATGGTTGACAATGTGAATTTTAGCCGTAATTCCCTTCAATTGTTGCTGATTTCCAAAACAAAATGCCATTAAATGGTTCCTGTATTATATGTTTTATAATATTACAGATCAAGATTTTAGATTGTCAAGTGATTTGAGCTTATATTTTGACTTTTTTCTTCATGTTAGATGTTTGACACTGAACCAACAATCATGAACTGGTTATATATCAAAGGACAATATAAGGGTGGAATAGCATTTCGATTTTGTTTCAATACACGTTCATATACGAGTATATATATGACAAAACGTATTCAAAATCGTAAAACTTCCCGCTCGATTTTCTGAAAATTATGGAGGCTGTTCGTTGCCAAAAATCCAGCCTTGTTGATCTGAGTTGAACAGTTTAATACAATTGTATTTCTTTGTATGTAAACTCCAATGTTGCATTTTTGGATTGAGTTTGCCGATTTAACATTTTAAACATGCATTTCAACAAAATACATTTTGTTAAACGACAAAACATTAACTGATAGTAGCAATACCAAATGTTCGAATACTCAAAACAGAAGTTACATTCTTAGCTTTAAAGTGTCGAACCATCATTATTCGGATCAGCATAATCCAGCTTTACACGTTTAAATAAGCTCCGCCATTTTTTCCGCCCACTAAATCATCGTAAATAAACGTATTCATCCGCTCATTTTCGGTATTTACCGTCGGCGACAAGGAAGCGGCGTAGTTTTCCGTTTACCATACCTTTTAAAGAGGGGTTTAGTAACTTAACATAATTCACTTGCATGATGACTTACAATCAAAACATCAGCGGACTTTAAAGGGTTATAGGCATATAAAGGTTTAAAACGTTGTAGACACCACATTTCCTAGAAAAAGAAACTTAAAAACAAAAAACAAAAAAACACCAGGTTACATACTGTCTGAGGTTAAATATTTTTCAAGGAAGTGAAAACTATTGATAAGACTATATTCAACGACAAATAAATTTACTGATGGTATTCCAATTTTCCTAGGAATGAGTAACATTTACAGTTAAAGCTGCTACCTTATCACTTTCAAATTTTCAAGTCAACATCTGATAGAGATTTTGATACGACTAATTTACTAATAAAGACCAAATTCTGGCTGTTGTCTTTCCTAGTAGTAGCATTTACTCATTATATTAGTAACCTTAATTCTAGCGTATGACTTGACAAGAAAAAAACTTTAACAAAAGTAAAATTATAACCAAAGTTGCATGTACCCTTTCGTACATAACTTTTTTATTTTACCATATATTTTTCCCATTTTTTCCCATTTTGTTTTTCAATAAGTAAAAATTCAAATGAGTCCAAATGTATGTATGTTGATTATCAATTTATGTATACCTTGTTATTTTATCTCTTAGAAAGCCATCACTTACAAAACTTAATAAATATTCTGTGTAGTATTTCATGTATAATGTACATAAAAATAGTTCTCTGCTTTTGATCATATAGACAGCAAATCTAGGTAACAGCTAATGACAGCATGTATACACATTTTTTAGAGGTGCTGTTGATTCAGTACAATGCATAAAAAGACCTGAACCTACGCCAGCTTACATATATTTAACAATCACATCCCATGACTCAAAATACCTCCCAATGGAGGTAAACAGAGATGTTAGGATACACTGAATATTTATTTCAACATTAAAATGGGACACATTTTTGGTTATACAACGGAATTATCGATAGTAAACTTTGAATTGTTTCGTGGTTATACACTTGGTCAACAATATGAGTTTTTCTACAACCCAACATAGTTCTTTAAAGAAAGAAGGCATAGGCTTACTGTTCAGTTCTTTTTATTCGTGTTGCCAAAAGTGCCTTCCATGTATCGCATTCTAGTACTATTTGCTGAATGTAATAAAAATATGCTTGCGAGTATTGCCGTGGCTCAAAAAACCCTTTCATTGATTTCAACGTATAGTGGTGTGTGTCATTATATATGGGAAACATTCCCTTATGTTATTTCACCAACTTTAGTTTTTGCATATTATTATGCTCATTATCAGTATATACGTTGTTACATTTTTACATCATATCTTAACCAATTTTGCATTACTTGAATATCCTGTACTAGAATTCGTTTTAACAAAATCAGAGGATGTTCAAAGTCAACTGTAATGCAGTTGATGTATGTGAAATTTATAACAGTTTCTATATAATTTGAAATATTTTTGTACCAGCAAGAGTTACCTCTCTTTTTATTCTGCTTACGTGAAAATTTCCTCCGCCTATTAATATTCGTCTATTTCCGTGATAATTCCATATATGGAAGTTGCAAAATCGTTTTACAAATGTAAATCGCGTTAGAATGTAAAAGGAAAGTGTGGTGTTGTAAACCTGAGTGTGTCAAGTTGATGCAGTTACATTCTCAACGTCGTGATGCACAGCATTATAAACGTATTGTTTACGTTCTATCGCTTACATTTCTACATTTCGCAAATTTGAAGTTATTCATTTTAAAATACAGTTTGCAATTTATCTAAGTTGCATGTTAACAGCTTTCATTTTATCAAACCGAGATAATTAAAATGCTTAATACCAGTGCAGTATGTAACTCTCGGATCGACAATTAGATTTTTACTAATCTGTTTAGTAGAACCGAAGTATGCATTGTCAAGTTTCAAAGGCTGGATTTTTGGCAACGAATAGCCCCTATGGAAAATGGCATATGCAGTTGGTCCCGAAACGCTGTCTTTCTATTGGTCATTTGTGACCAACAAACACTAGATAAAAGTCGAGAAAAATGTGTTTTTAATTTTATTCAGGATTTCTGTAAGATTTAATTGGCACAAATGAACTTTGTATATTGTCACTTGCTAAGCCTAATTTAAAGATTCTGTAACATGGTTTTATATAAAAAATCTGATGCTCAAATGAAGATTTATTAGTATTATAAGTTCAAAAAAGGATTATTTGCAGAGATATTACGGAATATACATTTAATATAATAAAGGGAGGTAATTAAAAATCCATTTTTGATAAAGTCTAAGGCAAGTTTTATAATAAGAAATGAATGCATAGATTTTAATGATTACTTATAATGCGGATAAACATTTGCAGTACATATTTAACATATTCTTGGATCTTTGCAACTTGTTTTAGAAGAAAAATTATATATAGTCAGTTATAAAATTTCACATAAGTGTTGTTACATCCTTCATTAGGGCGTCCGTGGCCAAGTGGTTAAGGTCGCTAACCCTAAACGATGTGGGCTCGAATTCCAACAGGGACTTTGGATTCATTCATGTGAGGAAGCTATCCAGTTAGCTTACGAAACGCCGGTGATTTAACTCAGGTGCCCGTCCGTGCCTGAAATAGTGCACGGATGGGCAACAGAGGGCCTCCTCCATCAGTAAAGCTGGAACGTCGCCATATGACATATACTCTGTCGGTGTGACGTCAAACCCAATCAATCAATCAAACAAACAAACAACACACATCCTTAATTACAACATACAGGATCTTTAAATCATTGTTGATTTTCTTTCCCTACCTGTTATTGCTGCTGAATATTCTATCATATAAATAATATGTGTCTATCAAATGTACCTGCTCCATAACAATGACCATATAATATTTGGGTGTAGAGTAAAGTCAATCATTAATTGAAACGGTTGTAAAAGCTTAATGATATTTCGTCTAATCTTCTATAATTCATGCATTGGCCACGCATCTGTGAATCGGGTCCAGCTGTAAGTTTATTTTTGGTATGAAATCACTAGTAAGTTTGTGCT